CAGATGAGGCCCTTGATGTTGTAGTCCTTTTGGAGGCATTGGAGATACTGTCAAGTGGATCAACTTGTAGTTGTGCAATACGTTCTCTTCTCCATGCTTTAACTTCCTTTGCAAAGTAATTAAAGTTCATAATTCTGGGTTCATACCAGTCTGTTACATCAATGTCCTTTTCCTCTTCAGATAAGAGTTGTTGGAGAGAATGATGCACTTTATTGAATTCATCCATAGCAGTTTTAAACATATCCATGCAATCATCAACATCCATCAACATTTCCACCGTCAGTGAGCAGGGCTTTAGTTTCATTTGGCTTTCTTGTGCACACTCCAAGTTTCCCTCTGCGTGTGGCCGTGAGGGATTTGAAAAGATCCTCTGCCTCCATGTCAGTTTTAGGTTCAGTCATTTTTCCTTGAGAGTTGCCTTTAATTGTATTCAATCCCTATGAACAGATTGCGTCTGCGTTAATCCATAACGCTGCTCTCCGCAGCGTGCGTAAAACTGGCCTGCACAGACGTCCTTATTTCTTTGATGAAGCGTTTAATCATTCCATCCATAACATTTGACACGTTTGGCTCATATGTTCATTTGCGTATGCATCCATTGATTAAATCACAACAAGCATGACTCATTCATTTTTTCCTCTTGTTTACTCACGAGTCCCACGCGCACTGCCTCGCGTACAAACATTTCCAAAACGAGGCTGGCGTCTGTCCTCCTCTCTTGTCTTTCCACGCGACTCCCGGAGGTTGCAATAAGGAAATCCTTTTAACCCTCTTTGCAGCGGGCCATCCACAGAAAAAAGGTTTCCAAAAAAATAGTATCCATTCATGAGGATGGTTTATTTCTATATAGCGGCCAAAATCATAAAAATATAAGAAAGAAATATAACGCAAAGTGCCGCTGAGGCACCCGTCAGCGAATCTTACGCATGGGTAAAAATCAAGGTCCGAGCAAAAGTCGTTTCAGTGCAATTTATTATACACATCAAGCATTTTTTCTTCCTTCTTACCCGATGGTAAAAACAAACATAAGCCTACCACGTGCGCCGCTCACTACCACCTGTTTCCCATATTTATAATGAGCCGGTCTCCCCTCCCCCGGTGCCCAAAGGCTGCCTTTACAAAAAACAGAGGCATAGTACAACTTATATGATAAAATTAAATAGGAATTAAAAGGAAGATTTACTATAAACAGAAAAGAATAATAAAATAAAAGGATAACTATTAAATAATATAAGCTCCTAGATATGGCTTCATCAGTGTGTGTGTGTGTGTGTGTGTGTGTGTGTGTGTGTGTGTGTGTGGACAATGCAGTCATAAATTACTGTAATTTAAACTAATCACCAATCTGAGTCTGTTTTTGGTTAATTTATAGTTCAAGAGGGTTGATAATATTATCGCTTGCATCATCCTGTTTTTTGTTCTGACTGCGAGTGTTTCAAAACCGCATGCTTATTTTCAGAGATGAAGCCAGATGTGAGATAAAGGGATATTATCTGTTGTCGTGTTTAAACTTGCTGCATGGGGGTGTAGATGACATTTGCAGAGGCTCACAGGTTCTCACAGACTTATGACTACATTACGATTTGTCCTTAAAGTGCTCTCACTCAATTAAGATGTAATGCCAACAAAAACGTCTTGCTACCACCTTTTGTTTTCAGCCTGTCCTCCTACAAAAAACGACCATATAGGCCGATTGTTCATGCGCTTATTACGACCCAGAGACACGTTTTAAAGTGTATGTTGTTTCTTACACGACCACTAGAGGTGCTCTAGTGGTCGTGTAAGAAACAACCGGCCCGTTCATTGCAAACGCTCCGGAGGGACGTTTATTCACAAATAACCCTCTCTGGAAAATCCTAAATTGTGGAATAGTTTGGCCATTAAAATGCTTTTTGATTCGATTTCTAGCGAGAAGTGTATATTGTACTCTTAGAATCCACGTCCAGTCGATGTGTAGGATCTATAGTTTGATAGATATTACGAAGATGATTTGAGGTCTCGCCAGGATAACGTGCTATGCTACGCAGTGTCCATGTAAAGTTGGCGTCAACCCTGACGGGGTGAAAACAGTATTTCCGGTCACAAAGTTTTCATAATAAAACCGGAAACTGTCAAATTATTACACAGTGATATCTGCATTACTCATCCACTAAAAAACATCAGTTTATCCTTGGTAATTACGCAATATTGATTGGTTTAAATTGTGTACAATGCTTTTGTGTTTTTAACCTTCGATCCGGAGAAACAAAAGTTTTTTCGGAGTTTAGACACTACATAGTTTCCGAAGACACTACACTACCCAGAATCCTCAGCTATCGTTTGGGACTACAACACCCGCTTTGCTTTACAAACCCCGTGATTAGTACTCAAGCCCTGTGATTGGATGTTGGAGTGGCAGTGCGACAAGGTTACGCCGAGCGTCAACAGCTCTTTGAAATGGAATGTAACCACGGCAGACTTTCCAAAACTGGACTCGGACGGGTCCAGCCCAGCAGTAGCCATCGATCATCTTAAGATAAGAACATATACTTTATTGATCCCGAGTTGGGAACAATTTTTGTTACAGCAGCATGTACTACTTTGTTATACTCCACTACAATTCAGAGGTTAACCTGGTATTTTTACTCCACTACATTTATTTTAATTACTTTGCAGATTCTGATTAATGATGTGAAATATAAACAACACTTAAATCAGACTTTAGTTACACCTGAGTAAAATTCAGGGAAGGTGATTGTCGAGTGCCAAAATAAACTATAAGATATGTTAAGATAAGATGGTACTTTATTGATCCCAATTGATTCTTATTCAAAAGAAGACCTTAACCAGTTTAGCCCTGAGCCTGTTTTTCAGGTCTCAGGCTCGAAAAAGACATTCCCAGAACAAATGACCAGTGTTGGGCAAGTTACTTTTAATAAGTAACTAGTAATAGTTATAGTTACTGCTCTCAAAAAAGTAACTACTTTCTTTATTAGTTACTAAATTATAGAAGTAACTAACAAGTTACTTTACTTTATAATAACAATAAAAATACAAGTTGTTGTGTTGTTCTGTGGCACAGTAAGAGAAAAGACAACTCCACATCATTGTAGCAATTATCATTATGAAATGTGGTGGAACAATAAAACACAAAAGATATGTTTAGACATTTTGACAGGCATCTATTTTGTACCTCAACAATCAAGTGGACAATGCTTTCTGTCCTGCACACAGTTTACATTAGACCGTAATATTTGTTGCATCCTTTATTCCCACAAATAGAAAATAGTGGTTATATTTCCAAGTTGCAAATGCGCTGCTGCTCTCGCTGATACTTGCATCTGCCATTGTGTGTGTGCTGGTGGTGGGCCGAACCACGCCCCTTAGCTGTGATATAATGAGCATATACCACGGCCTGTCGTGAGCTATTGCTTAAAAATATTGTACTTGAGTAAAAGTAGAAGTACTCAGATCTTGTACTTGAGTAAAAGTAGAAGTACTCAGATCTTGTACTTGAGTAAAAGTAGAAGCACACAGATATTGTACTAGAGTAAAAGTAGTACTCAAATCTTGTACTTGAGTAAAAGTAATAGTCCCAGAGTGTAGGAATACTCTGTTACAGTAAAAGTCCTGCATTCAAAATGTTCCTCAAGTAAAAGTAGAAAAGTATTATCATCAAAATATAGTAAAAGTAGCGACAGTAAAAGTAATCATTGTGCAGATTGGTCCATTTCAGAATAATAGATATGATATGTTTTATAATGATTGATAATGAAAGTGTTCTCAAAGCTGGTAAAGGTGCAGCTAGTTTGAATGACTTTGTATACTGCAGGGTAGCTTGTGGATTTACTCCAGGTGGAACTAAAGTCGGAATTAACACTTGATTATATTTCACATCGAATGATGTGAAATATAATCAAGTGTTAATTCCGACTTTAGTTCCACCTGGAGTAAATCCACAAGCTACCCTGCAGTATACAAAGTCATTCAAACTAGCTGCACNCACGGCCTGTCGTGAGCTATTGCTTAAGTATACCAACTATGTGCAATATGTGCAATTTGTGCAATATATATATATATATATATGCCATTAATTACTGTGCGATATATACCTGGCTGCTAAATCCTCAGAACTGTTCCAGGGTGTGTTTTTTGTAAATTGTGTAACTTTTTTTATTGTATATTTTTTTAATCTTTAATATTTTGTTTTATGCATGCTACTTAGGTAACACTAAGCTGTCTTTGTTTTTTTTCTGCTGTAACAATGTACATTTCCCCTCTGTGGGAGTAATAAAGGTATTCTGATTCTGATTGTTGATATTTTCGTTGGATAAAAAAATGGGCGCTAATGGTTACACAATCAACACAGTGATACAATGTAAAGCTTTTGAAATAAGGTTTGGTAACTAAATCCCAAAATGAGGAAACTGTGTGTAAAACAATTTGAGGGACAGATGGCGGAATTAGCCTGAAGTGCATCTTAGTTGTTAAGACAGTCGTGTAGTGTTTGTCTGTTTTCATTTGATTCCACTCTATTTCTTTCCTTTCAGTTTTGGGAAAAGTGTATTTCCAAAATAATTTCTTCCTTTTCTCTGGGTATGTTTTTGTTTTTGATGCTTCTTCCTGGTGCAATTGCAGTAATGTCATATTACTGTAACAAACACGATTTACATAAAACAGGGTTTGTATACAATTTTATATGAATACATTTTGTGATTAAAACTAAAAGCGGCTGCATACCAATAAAATAACTGCCCATTTTGTATTAGGTAAGGATTTGATTTACCTTCGGGTCCCCAATGATGTCAGTGTGTCCTTGTATCTCACTCAGGGACATTCCTGGGCAGGGCATTGAGATGCATGCCCGAACTGCATCATGAGACTCTCTTATCCCCACAGAGCTGAAAGAAAAGGCTTTGTTAACAGATCGCTACAGAGGTCCTCTGAATCAACATGCCCTGAATGATTCAGCTGGAAAATGACCCTACATCTCTATAATCCTCTGTATTAAATGTATCTCAACTGGTCCCTGGGCTATGGAGACTGACAGAGTCAAAGAGCACTTGATAACAATGACAGAAGGCATCAGAGACCATGACTTAGTTCTAAATGAGCTATGAAGACGTCTGCTGAAACACAAAATGATGGTCTAATGTTAAGTTAAAATGTAAATGACAATAAAGATTTCAAAGAGTTACTGTAATGTACAGGCATTGTGTTAAGTACAACATAGTCAAAAGAAGGCATCATTACCGATTTAATGAATTTCTTACCACTCTTTTCCATCACTTTTTCTTCTGTCTTTCTTTTTGTCAGACTTCGACTGCTTTCCTCCCAGAAGTGATGTCATCTTTTGCTCCCTGTTTTCATCTTTTCCTTTTGGTGTCTCAGTCTTTTTACAGCTTGGAGCAGGAAGCTTACTCTTACGAAAACCAAACCAATTTGCCAAGATTGAGCCAGATTTTTGCTTCACTTCAGTTGTCCTCTCCTGCTCATGAGTCTTGTGCAAGTTCTCTTCTATGCCCAGCATCACTTTTTCTTCGATTGTGGTTATAGTACTCTGCCCCTCTGGTTCTTCAGAAACTGGCTCGCCAAAGGCGCTCGAAAACTGTTGCTCAATCTGAAGGCGTCTAGCTTGCTCTCGTTGGTGTTTAAGACTCTGAAGTCTTTCAGTAGAGGAGCCCAAATGTGAAGGGGTTGTCAGTCCCTCTTCAATCAAGAAATTGTTTAAAAGAGATCTGTTCATTGGACAATGGTAGCTGCTGGAGCAGCTCATACTTCCTGCAAGGACATCACTTAGAGAGTTCAAGGAGCTCCCTGAGTGTGTTTTGATCTGGGTACGGACCTTACCAGATCTGTTGAAACTTGGCCTGTCCATGTAGCGTGCACCAAAGCTCTGGCTACGAGCCTTAGCCCCATTCATGCCCATTACTGGCTTAAGGGGAGGTCTGGTTGACACAGACACAGACCGTTTAAACAGCCAACCTTCCTCATCAAATCCCCAATCTAACATCACACCGCTGTCTGAGGCAACAGGTTGAACTGGGGGTTCAGAATCCAGCGAGTTACAGCGGGTCTCAATCTTCCGCCGGACTTTATCATGAGCTCCACATTCATGTTTCATCTGGGGATCACATGTAAAAGTCTGAAAGGTATGGATACTTTTTGCAGTAGAGTTAATGTCATCTTTCTTATGTCTTCCAAAAGCTAGGAAGGTACCAGTTTCCTGTCCAGCAATAGCCTCATGAGATCTAGCATTAGCAGGAAGAGCCATTTTGACAGCATTGGAGTTGGAACCTTGATGATTATTGGCAACCCCATGGTAGTAAACATTAGAATATGCCTGAGGCAAGAATTCTGAAAGTTTTGGCTCACTTATGCTCTGTTGGGATCTCTGTAAGATGCTTTGAGTTGGAAATATATTGGGAGCACCATGTTCAATATGGCATATGGCAGTTCTGTCCATAGAGAGCTGGACTAACTCTGAAGACTCTCGAGCTGGGACAGGGGGCATCTTGGATGAGTTGGTAGGGTAAACTTTGGCAGGAATATTCTTCGTTGACTTACCGTCAGTGCCCAATAGTGGGGCTGCATGTTGATTCTCCTTTGTAGCGTTGGATAGTTGCAGCTGTGAAATTGAAGAAATATTTGATTGTTGCTTAGTGACGTTGGATGTTGTCTTCCCAGTTGTAGAGCTTTGAGGCTGACCTGCAGATGTTGCTTTAAGTAAGCTGTCACTACTTGGCCTAAGGACTAGAGAAGTTGTTCGACCTGGGGGTGGCGGTAGGGATGGGGACCTAATTTCTGAACGGGTACTATCACAGTGCTGGTCTTTGCGTCGCTGTTTTCGTGGAGAGCAAGGTAAGTTGTCATAGGTGCTCTCTTCCACAGGCTCATTGTTTGATTGAAGTCTATTGATTTGCAAAGGTGATTTATTTGGGCTCTTTGAACATTCATTGTTCCCTGGAGACTTAAATGCCTTTGAATGTTTCACAGGGGAAGCAAGCGGAGAGCGCACACTCTTTATAGACTTGGAATTTGCTGATACCGCAACTTCCTCCTCTTTCTCCTCTTGACATAGGGATCCCTTGCTCGAAGAATTTGTATTGCTGAGATCTGTCCTTTTGTTAGGAACACTGTGTCCAGGAGGGTTTGATTGTCCTTTGGACCTGTGGCCCTTAATAAGCTTCTGGTGGAGAGGTGAATGTGTTTGCTTAGTTTGTTCTTTCCCTCCATCCGCACTCTTGCTCCGCAGAATAAAAGCCTTTCTTGCGGAGTCACAAAGCTGAGGTTTGGGTTTCCTCTGTGAAGATTCTGAGATGGTGTGGTTCTGGTTTTCACAGCCAGCTTGACTTGCCTGGTCTCTGCAGTGAGGAACCTCCATAGAGGAGCTACGCTGTCTGGCTACGTTCACACAGCTCAGAGCTTTAGTTGCAGAATGCTGAATAGAAGAGCTCACTTCATTCTTCCCAGCTTCAACTTGTGTAAGTGCAAGTCTACCCTGTTGTTTTTTGACATGATCAAGTCTGGATTTACGGTCAGTAGACCTTTCCTGGTTATTGTTTTTGTCACTTAACTTCATGCCTGAAGGTTTTTGTTTTTCTATTGAGTCTTTGTTTTTTTCTTCCAAATGCGTGAGGCTAGTGGTTGGGCTTATGCCAGGTTTTACTGTGGGGTCGTCCAAAAATAAGAAGTTGTCTGTGACAGGGGAAGGAAAAGGACCAGAATCCCCTGCAAGTTTTACAGGCTCTTCTTGTAAATTGTTGTCATTATCTCTTCCTACATCCAGTTTATCCAAGCAAACAAGCTCTCTTGTTGGTTGGTCATGGGATTCACAACTTTGTAATTTAGTTGAGTCATCCTCTGCATCATCAGAGTCGAGGGCAGCAGTCCCTGCTCCAGCCTTCAAAGGTTGATTTGTAGGGGCTACCTGCTTGGCAGTACTCCCTTGTTGGCCACACTTGAAACCAAATGAGTATATGCCCTCGTTGGAAGTCATGCAGTCTTTGCAGTGCTGCACAGCTGCAGCTGAGGATGCCTCTTTGGAGCTGCACATCTGGAGATGCTTTAGGCCTTTCAGAATGTGGCCTTCCTTCCATCCCAGGTCTGTCTGCTCGATGGGTGCAGAGTGATTACTTGAAACTGAACCCGTGCTCATCCTTTTGTCCCGGCTTGTAGCACACTACAATACAAGACATATTTTAAATAATCAATATGACATTTACAGATGGTTCGTTGTTTTTATTAAATTACCATAAAGACATAACAACGATTTTTTTCTTTCACAAACAGCTTATAATTGAACTCAAAAGAAGAGGAAATGGAGATGATTGACACCTACCTGTTTGGAGAATCCCCGCCCCTCCGCCCAGGTGTGGGAGCCACTGGAGTATTCACTACAAGCACTGGACAGAGACAGCTCACTGCCACTGCTGCCGCTGCTGCGCGGGCAGGTGAGACTCAGCAGGCTGGGCCACCGCCCTGCAGGAACACCTGCTTTTCCATTCCTTTGGACCTCCTGGAAAATAAATAATGATATAATGAATCAACAGAAATTAAAGAAAAACTGTAGAGAAATAGATGAAGAAGCAAAAACCTCAGGCTATACAAAATGTAATGTCTTTGTTGCAGGCTAATAAAAGACTGATTTATAGAATATTAGATTACATGTTACTTGTTAGACGCTTTTATCCAAAGCGATTTACATACTCAATACTGTGGACAATCCCCACAGGAGCAATTTGGGGTGAAGTGTCTCTTTATCCCTTTAACCCTTTTAGAAGTTAAGTTATAGTCATTTGTTTTGGGCATAGCATTTTCGAGCCTGAAACCTGAAAAACAGGCTCAGGGCTTAAGAGGTTAATTAAGGTCTTCTTTTGAATAAGAAAAAAACGTTGGGGTTATCTACAGATAAATATGAAGTCTGACAAAGTACTTAACGTCTAATATATTGCATAGTTTATTTTGGCAGTTGACAATCACCTTCCCTGAATTTGACTCAAGTGTAACTAAAGTCTGATTTAAGGGTTGTTCATTAATCAGAATATGCAAAGTAACTAAAAAAAATGTAGTGGAGTAAAAATACTAGGTTAACCTCTGAATTGTAGTGGAGTAGAACAAAGTAGTATGCTGCTGTAACAAAAACATTTCCCAACTTGGGATCAATAAAGTATATCTTATCTTATCTTAAGATGATCGCCATATTTGCAAAATGTGCCTCTGAACCTTGACAAGTGCATGTTTCATATTTTCCCAATGAACAACAGGAGGGGTCACAGACCAACACGTTCTCACTCCCAACCCGTCACATGTTGACGGACGGTCAGGGCCCCTCCCCGTCACTCTATTACGGACAGGGTACCCCTTGAAAGTCAGTTTTCAATGGGCAGGGCGTCCCATAGACCTTCATAGACCTCCCATAGCGTTGATAATAGACGCCATGAGAACGCTCCCCGGCAAATGCTACCCCGACGGTCGGTTGTTATTGTCAATATTAATATAATAATTATTTATCTTTTAATAGTCACACTCGATTTCGCCGATTTTTTTGTTGCCCCACCATCGACACCTCTTTTAGCAGAAACAAAGGCTACATTAATGTATTAAATCGATGTTAATCCATGAGTGTGGTTGTGGTTGCCAGGCAATGCAATAATTTACAATTTATCTTTTAGATTTGATCCAATCAGTATATTGGTATATTCACACCATAACGGTGCACAGCTGATAGAAAGGGACACCTGGTGGTTAAAGCATGTTTTTGAAATGTATTATTTTTATTATTAGATATTAATAGGAGACACAGACAGACAAACTAATAATGCTTTATTTAAACATTAAAGAATACTTTAGGTTAAGGTCTTATTTTGAATAAGAAAAAAGCTTTGGGGGTATAAATATTAAGCCTGACAAAGTACTAATATATTGCTTTCCTGCAATATTAACTACTCTATGTTTAAGCACTTATATTCTAACTGATATTATACATATGTATTATACTCTTATAAGATGTATGTAGATAGTATAAGAAATGTGCAGAATATGACAGTTTAATGGTGGAGGTATAGACACATATTGATAGATGTCTTGTAATGCACTGTTGAGGAACCTGCGACCCAGGTTTTTCATCTCCGACCTTGTCAGGAATTGAACATTCAATAAATAAAGAACACAGAATTATTAAATATAAAACACAGAATTTGTGTGATTATACTAAATGATTTACAAATAAACACCACTGCATATTTACAACTGTTACACATTTCATTAATTGTGAAAGTAAATTTCTACACAGGGTATTATATGCAAATAAATTAAATAAGTGGAATGAAAAGAAATTAGTAATATGTCGCAGGGGATCTGGATGCTCCCGAGGCCGAACCCTGGACGGGGGACGACCGGCCACGGGATAGTAGAGGAGGGAAGGCTCGGGGACGGGTCACCCCGAATCCACCGACGGGTGATTTCATTCGTGCTGTGTAATCTAAGACGAACGAGCGTTACTTTTCGGTGAGCTTACAGACTCTAAGTCATGACTTGTACAGAGTATGAGTCGACGAGAATAAAGAGTTACCACTCCTTTCAGTTCACAACCTTTACGTCTACACACAAATCCTTGTAGAGTAAATGCTAGAGTCTCTTGACTATAAAGGACGGTCGGGAGCCAACACAACAATAAGGGACATAAATTTCTACAAACCGAAAATCATGTAAACAATGTCCTGTGTAAATTTCACATAAGACTAGAAAGTCTGGACTGTGGGTAGACGGGTATGAATAATTATTTTTCACTAAATTTTGCAATCCTTTGTGTGTACATTAAGTATTTTTCATAAAGACACATTTTCACATTTTGTAACTTCATTTCAACGTGTTGTTTATTTTTGAGAGGTTGTCGGTATGTGTACGGGAACTAAAATTGTGTCGTCGGTGAGACGGACTCCAAAAATAATTTGACCTTAGGTGAGTCTTAGAGGTCTATGGGAGTGTTACGACTGACATTAAAAAAGGTTCCTATTTAAGACGTGTAGTAACATTCTTACCTAACTTTATTTCGTATTAGTTTGATCTTTCCACTTATAGTTACATTATCTGGTTTGTAAACTCAGGTGTAGAGCGGAAATACGTTAATAAAGGATAAGTGTAATAATCAACGATTGTCTACTGTGATTGCTGAAACTCTCCTTCGACGTGCAGAACGTTTTCTAGTTACCGCAAAAATTTTACCCAAGTGGGGAAAAAGTGGAAACCCAGGGAGAACTAACCTTTACCGTGGTTGCTGATTGTATAGACGACAGTCACGTATCACGGTCGTGAAAGATAGTCTGACCCAAGGGACGTTTTCCTTTGGTCGTCTGGATATTTGGTACTGGTTTCGGGTTAATCTGTGACGAGAAAAATTATTTCTTAAAGTGGGGACACTATAATCGACGTTATGACTAACGGATTCGTGGATTAATAGTCGTTTTAACTGTGTAACTGTAACTTGGTTAACGTTGGGTCAGAACAGACCCTGGCCAGGAAAACAAGGACAGAATTTCTACAATAAAGACATTTCATTGAATTACTTATTACCTTTGTTCAATCAAATGTTGACGGAAGACCAAACCTAGTTGTTTCTTCAAACTTTTACGATTCCAAAGTTCACTGTAATGTGACGTAAAACAGATGTAACGGACATACTGGATGTTTAGGAACAACACTGGTTATGTGTTTGTGACTTCCTTTTTTACCCCTGATGTGTATGAAGTATATTATGTTGTTACTTTTTACAACGTCCGTTTTGCAAGGTGGAACCAATTGTATAGTGTAATTCCTTGTAAAATATTTTGTGAAAGACAGTAGAGTTCGGAGTTATTGTAGGACTTTTGTAAAAGTCTTAGCAAGAACCTCTTAACAAGAAGTAAACAATAGTCACATTGTAACTCCCTTTCAAAATATCTTCTTGAATAAATTACACAATGGGTTGGTTACAGGTTTTGTGTAGCGAATCTTACAACGGTCCGTTTTGCAAGGTGGAAACAATTGTATAGTGTAATTTCCTTGCAAAATATTTTTTTTGAAGACAGTAGATATCCTTTTTAATAAACTTTATTATTTGTAGGATTTATTCCAAGAAACTTGTAGTCTAATTTTGCAAAGAAAATTTTGTAATAATCTTGGACATCCATTGCAGATCGATTTCAACCCTTCTTCAAAGGGGAGGTCGGACCCCAAAGATAAAAAGGGGAAGCTAAGCCTCTTTGTTTATATAAAAAACCGCTCAAGTCCTACCGGCTCTGTGATACTGATGGGCATTAGGAGTCGATAGCAAAACCCTGAATGTTGTAGGCGAACCGAACTGTTTGGGACACTAAACCTACAACCTCGACCGCGTCACGCGGTTCCAATGCGTCTCGCCAGTTTGTCGAGACTACTCTACCTTACTTTGGTGCCGTCTGAAAATGTTTTGACCTGAGCTTGGACCGCCAATAATTTAAAAATTTGAACTAATATTAAATTATTTACCCAACTTTTAACCGGAACCAGGGTATTACCCGTCGTCACCTCATAGAGGGTGTACTGTCGTTCCAGTCTTCTCGAAATAAATCTGTCGAACGCAGAATACAGACACGTTGTGCAAGAAGTGAGGGTGTGGGCAGTGTTACGAACTGCCTGCCAAGTCCCGCGGCGGAGGGGCAGTGAGATAATGCCCTGTCCGCATGGGGAAACTTTCAGTCAAAAGTTGCCTGTCCGCCAGGGTAACTGAACGTATCTCGGAGTGAACTTGCAACCGATTATCTGCTCAACCCTAGCGCTCTTTCACGAGAGGCGTCTAGGTAAGAGTGTCGTAAATAGTTGGAAAAAAGAATGAGTTATAGTTCGTGTGTAATAACAAGAAAATGAAGAAATACAAATTAACTTATTACGATCCTGAAAACAGTCAATACCCCCTCTCATCCCCGAAGTATTATGACTTTAGACACAACAAAGTAGCAAAAAAAGGAAGAAGATAAAAACATAAGAAAGATTTGGTGTGTGACATAAATGAGTTGTTATTGTGTATTACATAGTGAACGCAAAATAAATAACCACAACTAATTATTTGTGTTCAAACCTCAAGGCAGTCCTGGCTCCCAGCCTCGTCGAAGTATCATATCAACCGAAATCTCTTACACCATGTGGTCCTTCATTTCATAAGGAGGCGAAGCGAACTGTTTGGGGACACTAATCAGGAGTTCGAGACACTAAAACCCTACAACTCAAACGAGGCTCCCAATGCGTCTCGCACCTTGTGTGAACCTTTCCCCTACGCTTGGTGCCGTCTGCAGGTTTTGACCTAAACTTGCACAGTGGGCAAGGGGGGAGAGGGGGTGCGGTCCTTGATGTGTACGACCGATAACACACAAAACGTTGTACGAGGAAATACCGTGCAGAGATTACCCTTAACATCAAAAATATACTGCAAAAGTATAAAGGTATTATGCTTCAACGGTCATAATTTTGACACATGTAGGGACCTCCAAAATCCCCTATCCTTTGTGAGTGTAAAATTTTGTATATTAATTATTTAACCCACTTTTAACGAACACGGGTAATTACCGTCGTAATTATATTATATGGGTGTAACGGTCGATTTCCAGTCTTCTCGAAATAAATTGGTCGACCAGAATACAGACACTGGGGGAGGACAACAATATAACTATTCGTGACTTTGTACGTTGACAGTTCCAGTCTCGTGTAAAACGTATTATACCGTCATCGGTGAGGTAGTAGAATTCTATTCTATATGAAATAACTAGGGTTCAACCTTTGTAAACCGCAA